TCATAGCAAAGATCCCATATGATTTATTGGCTGGAAGCAATCGTTGATCGCGTGACCTGGACATTTTTTTGCCATGTTAACCTGTAAGATTTTACCACGAAGTCGTTATATCCAGATGTCGGTATACCCAGAGTGATGGTATCTTAGCTTTAATTATTCTATCCTAAATTTGTGACTTGAGAACCTCTAAAATATAGATCTTTTTTATTTTCCAACTTTAAATTAATCGTGAATACACAGCTAATATAGAACCAAACAGAATCAAGTTATTCGTAGCAAGCTTATTAACAGAATATTTAAGTACATCGGAAATAGCATTTTATTATACTGAGATATTCCAATTAACAAGATAAAAGGCATATGTTTTAACCATTTATTAAAAAAAAAAAAGTAAATTAACTACAAATTATTTATAAGAGTATTGACATGGAGAAGAGATTTATTTGTATCCAATAAGCTCACGCCCCTTTCCAAAGATAACACAAACTGTAGTAAAAAATAATTTTTGGAAAACCACTAAACTTGGCACTAAATATGGTATGAAAATACCGGCTAATTCCTCTGGATGACACAAAATCTCTTGCCTTTTTATGATATATTTTCCATCAGAGCGGTAGGTTAAATCTAATCTTACCATAACTCTAAGAAGAAAAAAAAATTTTTTTTTTATGAGAAACATTTGCAGATATTTGTTAGATACTTGTGTTTCTTTGCATTACTTACCTTATTGGATGTTCGACCCAGAAGAAAAGGCCACGACGAGCATATTGTGTTGCGTCAATCACAACCTTATTGTGTTTTTCGTTAAAAAATAATTCATGAATAGTAGTTCTATCAGAATATATAAATCCTGAAAAATGTACAAATAATTATGTGTTAATAAAATATCACATCATGATTAATGTAATAAAGTATATATATATATAATCACCTTTATAACATCGATTTAGTGAGATAAAACATTCTCGAGAACTCGGACCACTGGGAATATATGTCATAAAATTTTTGGCTTCAAGGTTAACGCAATAATATTCTGAAACTTCTTGTGGATTATAGCCCTTATTTTTTGAGCCAAGAATGAGATCTATAATTTTTGGAATATCTTGAACTGGGTCGTCCATGGTTTTTGTGTTTGTTTTCTACTAGAATAAACTAAGATTCAAATGAATGTCTTATATATATATTTTTTTTATCCAGAACGTGAGAGGTTTTTAGATTCACAATCTTGATTTTTTCACATGCATATCTTGTTTGTACCCCTAACGCTAAGCTGAAGTCATTATATGAATAACTATATTGATCTATTTTGCAGTATATGGAATTAGATGACGTAAAAATAGGCAAGCTGATTTCACAAATGATTGCAGTAGAATCATCCCAGTGATTGTCGTAAAATTGCCGCAACTTGCCATAACTATAGTAATATAAAGATTACGCTATAATGCCGTAACTTACTTTATTAATTACTATAGTTACGGCAAGTTACAACAATCATTGGGACGATTCTTCATTAAAATTAGACTGAATTGAAATTAAAATATATTTTTAATGAATTGAAACGCCCAAAATTTATTTAAAGTTAGACCTACTTGATTTGTAGATTCAATATTGATTATCGGACAGATAAAGTTAATGCAGTGCAGACTAAAATGGTGAGATGATTTAATGTGGCTTTCTGTTGTCCGCCATGTAAACATTTTTCGAATTATATTGGAATTTTCACTTTTCGCACATTGTTTGCGTATAATACGATTCTCCTTTATAGGATACTGCTTCATTAATTTAATACATTAAGCTATTCATATTAAAATAAAAATTCCGATTTCATTTCCTTTTTTTTTTAATACCCCTGTTTAGCTAATTATGAAATCTCATTTTGAGTATACTTTTTAATTCACCCTACGCGTCGAATATCTATGTCTGAACCCTATTATATTTATTTAAGTCGCTCTCGTTTTAATGAACTCTCGATATAACGAAGGCTAACTAAAATCTCGATATAGCGAAGATAAACTTAAAGCCAGCTACATAAAATTTCTATTAATGGAACGGATTACTGCACTATAACGAGAATAACTTTTATTTCCATCATGTCATTCAACAGCCTCACATTGGCTTGTTTACGTCATATGCAACAAGTGTACATGAATGAATCATCCAGGACGGCTGTGATGTAACTTATGACGCAGCCAGTACGCTAAATTCTGCTAATGAAACCACAGACACCCATTAAGTAAAAAATTTTCCTGGCTAAATTCTCTTTTTTGGATTTGAAAAACTAATTCCGGGCAATTTAGAATTTTGAAAATCATCGGCCTAAATTAATTTAATGCAAGCCAACTGCCTAAATGTACATATCTTAAATTATAAACAAACAATCGACCAAATAGACATAAATCTGCATGGCGTTTACATACGAAAGAAAAATCTACAATAAAAGAATTCCATTGTTACATGGGAAATTGACCCACAGTACCCCACGAAAGTACCCCAATGGCACCGACAGAATTTCGCTGATCTGCAATCTAGAACATTTTGATTAGCCAATCAAAATTTGTTTATTTTTAATTTTGACCGTTTTTTTAAAATCCTAGCGATGTTTTCCCACTAACCACTCAATTAAACTTAATAAAATAATTTTATTTTAATTCTATACATCCGTGGAATCAAAATAAAAAAATTTCACTGAATTCGGATAGTTGGCTGTCGAGAACTCTTCGCTAGAAGTTTAAGAAAATCGAAAAAAAAAACAATCGGACGAATTTTTTCTTTTTTTATACTTTAAACGATGATTTCTTGACAATAAACTATCCGAATTTGGTGAAACTTTTTTATTTTAATTCTGTGGCTTCATAGAATTAAAATAAAAAAAAAATTGATCGAATTTCAGGATTAGGTGAAACTAG